GGAAAATATTTTTTGGCAGAAATAATCTTCATAATATTCCCTACACAAAATCATCTGCTGGTATAAAAGATCTTAGGTAGTTATATTTATATACGCATTTATTTTGACCGTTGCGTCAACGCAACACCAGGGGCTAGGGTTAAGTTTTGATTTTTATATGGTGTGGTTGACAACTACTTTTTATTTACCAGCAACTGGATTTAATAGCGTTCCTGTGCAAAGAAAAGCTTTACAGTAGAAAGTCCGAAATACGAAATCCAGTTACACGATATCCGTACCAACCATCAAAACAAAAAATACATAAAATAACGTAAAAAAATCTGGGAATGGAGAATATTGATTAACACTTTACCGACCGATCACCTATTAATCAGCTTTTTATCGCCAGTGCCTACTGACCAATCACCTACTAATTTTTTTTTTTTTTTTTTTTTTTTGCCAATGCCTACTGACCAATTGCCTATGAATCGACTTTATTTCACCAACACCTACTGACCGGTTGCTTATTAATCGGCTTTTTTCCGCCAACAGCTACCAGCCGATAACCTACTAATCGCTTTTTTCTTGAGGTTACCAAAAAATAGCCTATGAATCGGTAGCCATGGCGATAAACAATTGCCATTTGCTATATCATCTGTATTTTATTATTAGCATTGAGGTACATTGTTCACTTGCATTAAGTGCATTGCTTTGTAAACTCCTACATTTTCACACCGTTTTAAAAAAATTTACTGTTCACGATGAGCGAAAAAAAATGGCATTGGAGAGTTTTATGTAGATGATTTATCAGATTATCCTAACAGTTATTCAGAACAGGGAGAATCTATGGTTGAGGTGGCTGGTCGGATGTGTGTATGCTGTTGAACTGCTGGTGGTCGGTAAATTGTTAAAACACCTACTTCCTCAAGAAAAAGAAATAGGTATGATGTGATTTCTGACATTCCTGCATGTAGCATTCAAATACTGCTGGCTAGAGAAGTTGTTCCATGGCCAGTAACTATATTGATTGATGCTGTACTGATGTGCCCCAAGGCCACACTTTCTGCTATTGTTGACTGGTTGTGGGGGTTTTCTGTCTAACCTTTAAACAATTAAGGAAGGCCACCAGTAGCTGAGCCCTAAAATCGCCAAACTCTGGTAGTTCCGATTCCAAGCAAAGGGCATGGGCATTTTACTACTTGTGTAATTTTTACAACCCATCTTGCTAATAAAATTAATTCTACAACCTCCTATAATTCTATAACCCATCCTGTTAATAAAATTAACAACAGATCAATACTAGATGAACATATTGAATCTGATCCAAATATATTTCTTTTGATATAACTGACATGTGTCTTTTACCGCACTTACAAGATTTAAAATCAATAATAACAAAAGAAATTTCAACAAAAGTTCAGTCCAATTTCAAATGACTTTACCAATTCTGTTATTCAATGTACAACCAAAACGGAACTTATAACTGACATGCATCATTTACGGCACTTACAAGATTTAAAATCAATAATAAAGAAAAGAAATTTCAACAAAAGTTCAATCCAATCTCAAATGACTTTACCAAGTCTATTATTCAATGTACAACCAAAACAGAACTTAATATTACCAAGGAACTTATCAGAAAGATTCAAGATACCTGTGAACAGACCTTATTCAAACGATCATCAGTTCCCATTATAAAAATCAACTGGTGGACAAAAGTACTCCGCAAAGAAAAACACAAAACACGAGCATTATGAAAACTCTAAATCATCACAAACTGCTGAAGAACAACTAATCATACTCTAAAAATACAGAAAACAACAAGCCTCGTATAAAAAGCAAATAATATCTGCAAAACTCGAAGCAGGGCACCACTATTTTTCAAACAACCAGGATATATATGGCTCATTGTACAAAATTGCAATCTTTCGCAACGGTAGAAAGTTTCGAGATCTGATCTCGTCCGGTGGGCTAATAATTGATTTACCCACAACACAGTAACCCTTCTAATGACCCTTTTGCTAGTTTTCTTCTTTTTCTTCTAGTAACCTTTCTCCCTTCCTCTTCTAAATCTCCCTCTAAAGAACGGCCACCAAGTTTATGGTTTCTAATGGCAACCAAGTTTGCGGGCCGAAGGCTTTGCAAAATTACCAAAATGTTGGCAGAAAATCATAGATTTGAGTGGCAATTACTACTCACTCATAAAGATACTGCTTTCATGTTTTTTCCCTAACTTTATTAAGAATGTTTTTTGGTGGAAAGCTTTTGTTGCAAGAAGTTTTTTTGGTGGAAAACTCTTCTTCTGTCCTTGCTCTATTCGATTATTGATTGGGAGCTATACCTATGCAATCTTTAATGAAGTTCTTTAGCATACAACACTTTTACATGTACCTGTGTAACTTTTACTGCTTGTGTATTTACTGCTATGCGGGAATTACTACTTGTGTAATGTGAATACGAGCCAGTTTCCCTTAGAAACTCCTCCACAGAGGCATCGCACCCCTTAGGCAGATAGCCCTAGTGTCAACTAGTGTCTAATTAACTAAACCAAAATCAAACCTAAAATACGGAAATATCAAGAAATTTGGAATTGCAAAGATTGCTGTGTATTGAATTGATATACCTTGATATGCTTTACTTATACCTATTCCATGCTGATAACCACATCTGAGATTTCACTGAAATGAAATGTTATGTTAAAGGAACTGTTGTGTCATATAAACTGCATTAATTTTTTTGAAAGCCATTTAACACAAATTGTCTAAGGAAGTCATTTTTGACTGCTTTTCAATTTCAGTTAGAAAAACAATTATGTATATAATAACATAACTTATAATTTTGTGACTTTTATAACTAATAATTTTGTGACATATAAATGCTTTTATTAATCATTATAGTTGCCTAACCCCTCGTTCATTTCCAGTATATATATATATATACACGACGGTTGGGGTAAAAGTCATGGCAACTATTTTTTTCTTGTAGATATGTGAACGGATCACAAAGCGTATATGTTTCGTGTGGAAGTTCTGCAGGCATAGTGTGTATGCAGAACATCAGATGGCTCTGTGGTAGCGAGGGCTCTGAAATCAGTCCGTTGGTGAGTGCTGTGCAAGATGGAAGTAACCCGTGTTGAGCAGCGCACTTTCATCAAAATAGCCATTCTCCGAGGGAGAAATGCGATGGAATGTCACAGTGTTAGTAGAAACCCTTGGGAATAATGCCTTATCATATCGTACAGTAGCACGGTGGGTAGGAAAGTTTCAGCAAGGATGTGTGTCAACCAGTGATGAGCAACGTTCGGGACGACCGGTGAGTGTGCGGACTGACTTGGCACATGCCGTCATCGAGCACCTCATGGATGAAGACAGACGATGGAAGTTACCGGAGTTAGAGAGGGCAAGTGGCATCGAGAAACGCACCATCCACAGGATATAGCATAATGAGCTAGCGTTCTTCCTCAGTCATGACGTCAGGGGTGTCATTGTTTGCCACTTTGTTCCTCTTGGCAGAACAGTGACCGCACAGGGGCTTCCTGGTGCAACAGGTACGATGTGGCGTTCGGGATAAACGTCTGGATCTTCTGGACAGTACAATAATTCTGCACGAAAATGCAAGACCACATAAAGCAAAGTGTGTACGGCAGCTACTCCGACGCTGGGGATGGGAAGAATTGGAGCACCCACCGTACTCTCCTGACCTTTCGCTCTGTGACTTTGATCTCATTCCCAAGATTAAGGAACCAATACGTGATAGGCGGTTTGCAATACGAGAGGACATTGCTAATGCTGTGCACCAACAGATGACCCGATTCACACATGGTGTGGCAAATGCTGAGGCTGATGGTATTCAGCGCCTCCCACATCGTTGGCAGCGTGTGGCGACAGTAGCAGGGGACTACATTGAAGGCCTTTAGGCCCAGGTGTGTCATGTCAACTTTATGTGTATTGTGTTATCATTCTTTTGCACAGTGAAGGCTATATTGCCCCTGTATACTACCGTAATAAATTCGTATGTTACGCTTTTTCAGTGCTATTCATTGTCCACACATGTAGTTAAGACCTTGTCCTTTCGTCTGTATATGTCACATTTTCCAACCGGACTGGTATCTTCAAGAAAGAAAATAGTTGCCATGACTTTTGCCCCAACCTAGGTATATATATGTGTGTGTGTTATACTTGTATTGCCCCAAAAGCAGTCATTTTGACTACTCGGAAAATTTTAAATAATCAAATGACTTTTATTATTGAATTGAGTAAATTTCTTATATGACCAATTCAGCTCTGGATTGGAATAACAGTTTATATTTTTTTATTACTGTTACATGATAACATACAAGTTCATGATAAATTGTCGATTTGGGCATATCCATGATAAGTTGCAGCTGTGGCTGCTATAAATGCCTTTACAAAGAAGCAACAGGAATACAAATACAAAGAAAACAATTCTTCTTTCAATTAGCAGAACAGCTTTCCACCGATTACAGAGCTGCAAGACAGAAAAATTCACCAGAACATAAAGACCCACAAAGATCAACTGCAACATCATCAAATACAACATATTCTAAAAAACGAAAAATTTGTCAAGTATGACTTTGCCACAACAACAAAACAAATAATATATGTCAAAAATGTCAAAAGTATGTTTGCGGAAGATGTACACATAAAAAGATTTCCACTTTCATTTGCTTAAAATGTATAAATAATGCATAAATTATTTTTTTTCCAAGCAAAATAATTTTAATACTTACTAGTAAGTAAATAATATAAAAAATTATGAAATTAATTTTAAACAAATTTCTTTACACATTAGCTATTCTCTCACAATGCAGTCATTTTGACTGCTTTTGGGGCAATATAGTTATATATTAAGTTTCAGTCTTTCTAGTGTTAATAAATAATAGAGAAATGTGATACTGAATTTGTACTTTTCTTTTTCAATATTGTTGCTTATGCCTTTAATTTTTTGTTTTTTTAAATAAAATTCTTTGAGATTATATTTTAATATTATTTATTTTGTAGCTGAATTGGTGGAAAGATATGATGCCGTTCGACGAGATGACGATGGAGGATTACTTTGATTACTTCCCAGATTCTAAGGATAATGTTTACAAGTATCCGAACTTCTGGCCACACGATGAACCGCCGGTCCCGGTGTTTCCTTATTTAGACCGTAAAGATCACCATTAACATTTGAAATTATGTACAACTTTTGTAGGTGTAAAGTAGAATATTAATAAATTAAAATTTGTGGAATTACATACAAAATATTTGAATAAAGCACCTGATTTAGTAATGAACTGTCTGAAAATTATTTACTTTGTATCATAGCTTCAAAGTAGATATTCAATTAGAGATATCCTTCATCTTCCTTTGAATAAGCTGTTTGATTTACTTTCTGATTCAGATCTATCTATGTAGAACGCAGGGTTTTGATTGCAGATATTTATATCATTGAGTCCTGAAATATTTTGGATATTTAAGAACTGCTGGAACTATTAATAGCACACATTTGTTGTATTCTTATTTTTCTGTTAACAGTATAAGACTTGGACACTTGTGTAACCAATCAAAATCAAAGTCCAACATTAAGAATCAAATTTTTAAAAATTTCTGCTGATTCTTCATGCTGGACTTTGTTTTTGATTGTTATTCAGTGTGATATTTAAACTAAAGTTGTGTTATGACCTTTTGTATGATAAGCAGTTAAATGAAATGATTAAATTTTGGGCCACCAGGGTATGAGGTATGTTAAAAGTTTTATAATTTTTTAAAAGACCTATAACCGTATTTTCAAAAACAAGTAACCCATCTTGTTTTCAGCTATATTTTCATTCTAAAATTTGATAGGGTTTTACAAGCATCTATTTTCATGAACAATATTACTGAGTAAGTGGAAGGAATTTAATTATTCAAAATAAAATAACACTGTTTGAATATTAAATAAACCATGTACGTAGTTACTGGATATATGAAAACTGCATTACTGCCACTAATTATAATAGCCAGGTCTTGCTGAGCAATTTTAGTTCAGGCCTATTTCCATTATGCAGTAAGATTCTGCTTAACCCTTTCCGACATGCTACTTTTTAAAGTTAGAATGTCGATTAAAAAAAAAGGTAGGCAGTTTAATTAGGCCTAGAGGAGTACACAAGTAAAATTTTGTAAAGATAGCACTTATTGTTTTAATTCTGTGTATGTGCCGGAGCGGGCACACTGATTGAATAGAGCTTCGTAAAGAGTGTTGAAACGAACATTGCTGGGAAGCACGTAAAAGAGTAAGAGATTTTGCCTATGATTAAAAACACTAGATTCTGAATACTGTAGCAGATTAAGCATAACCCAGGGTGTGCCACGCGGAGATCTGCTACTCTACACTCCCCTAAAAAGCTCATTTTTGATTATACGATGATTACATGCTTAGGAATGGGAAAAAAAAGTAAGTTGGGTATATATTTACATTTCATATTTACACTTTAGTCTATTTTTTTTCATCCTAGTACTTTCGAAGAAAGTGACACCACCTTTGAAAAAGCACAATCCAACATTGCATGTTTTGCACATGTACCGGTGTCCGTATCAGATTCACTATCTGAAAGCAATTTGTGTAGCACTTTCAATGCTTTAGAAATGGGCAGCCCTCTCTGATCCGTTTGGAAAATAATTAAAAATCCGAAAAAATAAACTAATGTTATGTCTACAGTTTGAAATTACAAACTATAAAATAAAAATATAAATGTCTACAACTCGAAACTATTAAACGTAACGCTAAGTAAACTTCTTTGAACCAAAGTGAAAGAGAACTGCTCTAATGAAAAACTAAACAGCTAACTGATAAAATTATCCCTGACCTTCAGAAAATCCCCCCAACAATTTCTTAGTTAATAACCAAACCTCCCCTCCAAAAAATAAATAAATAAAGGAAAAAAAGAAAGAGAAAAACAGGAAATGAAACACAGATGTGGACCCACCTTTCTATGTTAATGAGCTGACCGATGAGCAATCTCGGATCTAGCCATGGAGATAGGAAGTTGGATGGAGTGGCCCTAAACCAGTTTCCCCATACCCTGCTTTGAAGCACTGGCGATCTCTTTGGTGACCAAAACATTGGGTAATTTACCATTGAGTTCAATCATGGAGGAATCATGTTGTAAATATGCATATAAATGTATATATTTTCTTTTTCTATAATACTTCAAAGTATATGAAAAGAATACATTTTTAAACACATTTCATTCTGAACGGAATTAAATGCTATACGTTTCACAGAACAGTTTGCTCAGAATGGTTTAATTTGAAATATTTTTCACAAGTTTTCGTTAATTACATTAGAAAAAAAATTAAGGTAATTCGATTTAATTCGGTTAAGGATTACAAAAATTAAGATCAAAGTTTATTGTATTATTAAAATTATGCATTATTTCTTTTCTATTTATAGAGCTTCTTCCTAAAATACTTTCTCATATATGACATGTTTTTATAGCTTCTGAGGCATCTTTTAAATCGAAAACTATTTCAATTTATAATTAATGCTCTATTCGGTCCATTTCAAATTAGAGCATCTTTTAATTTAATAGCGAAATACTTTAAATAGTACTTAACTTTCTCTGAATATTTCTGAAAGGGAATAAAATAGGGATTTTTTTAAAAACATTATTTAAAACTTGTAACTGACTTATTATAAAGTGGTAAGGGAAATAATTCTTTTAATTATACTTATTAGATTTTTTTTTACCCTTAATTTCAACAATACATATTCCAAAACTCTTCTTTATTACTTTCTTAAGTATGCATTATGAAGTATGTGTCAACAGGATGTCAGTTTATGTTTGCAATTCAATGTTAAGGTTATTATGTATTTAGATAATATTTATAGTCATTATAAATTTAGATACATTTAATAATTAGATTTCTTCACAGTTATTTATGAATGGATAAATCCTTCATTTCAAATACATTTATAAATAATTTGATAAATATTTATGTATTTTGTTAAAGGCAGATAGATACATGCTTTTTGGAAGCACATGTATAAAAATACCCATACATATTTCACATTTTCCATTTTCGGCATGTGGAAATCAAATTTCTCTGCATTCACTATATTTTTCGAGTAGAGTAATTTACACTAATTTTAAAAAGTACATGTTACAATAATATGTGGATGTGAAAAAAAGTTATTTTATTTAAAACATTTTGGCGTTTGGAACATAAAATAAAAGTAGAGAATACTGTATTAAGGTTATCGAAAAATGTATACAATTTGAAAGGTACGGTGAAATATTTTTCATTTTTTAAGCATAACATTTTTGCTAAAATCTATATTTTTGTAGTTCAACAGCTTAGAATTTTATAAAACAAATTCATAATCAAAATCGCTGTTGTTGGTTATCGAAAAATAACCAAGATGTGATTTTTGACTATACAAATTGCTATTATCCATCATAATAGGAATGTTTCTTTTATGCAGAAGTGTCCCGCTTTTCGATTTGTATGGAACTGTCGTGTGTCGAAATACTATCGGAGCGCTGTCAAGCCAAAGAACGTCTATGTAAAGAAAGAAAGGCTCCATAATGTAAACCAGTTTGTCTTCTATGCCGCTAGAAAGAAGAGGAAAATTTCGCCAAGGGATTTGGTGACGGAACCTATTGGCGAGAATTTCTCCCTCTGTGATGTACTGGACCTGGCCGAGATTTTCCTCCTCTGTAACGTGTACAGGAAATTGAGGAACACGGGTTAAGATGAATGTAGTGTCTGTCGCTTCAGTTCCGTTAAGTTTCTAATGAAATTTAGTTAAAGCGGAATGGCAACACCTTCTAGTCTCCGCGAAGAACGAAGTAAACAAACTTCGAGTTTTTGTCACGCGATGCTACGTGCATGTAAAATGTAAATAAATCTTATGAATAAGAATCTATAACTTTCAAAGGAATAAAATATTGGTTCCATTGGAGTCGGAGAAGTGTTATTTTTCTATATTTGCACACCAGACACTTCACTGGTGTATCCCGGCGTGATCGAATTCTACAATGGCTGACGAAGACGAAACCGAAATTAAAGCAACAACTCCATCTGTCGCCAAGGTAAGCGTTAAAGTTCCTCCTTTTTTGAAGCCAGATCCTAAAATATGGTTTATTCAACTAGAAGCACAATTTAGAAATGCAAAAATTAGTGCAGGTCAAACAAAATATGATTATGTTATAAGTTCCATTGAACCCGATATTTTGTCATAGGTAACTGATATTTTGCTAAGTCCACCACAAGATAATAAATATGAGGCAATTAAAAATAGACTAATTTCATTATATGCTGATTCAGAGACTCAAAAAAAAACCCAAAAATTACTGAGTGAGTTAGAACTGGGTGACAAAAAGCCATCTCAATTGCTATGCGAGATGCGTAATTTGGCTGGCGATAAAGTAACAGATACTTTCCTAAAAACATTGTGGCTACAACGTTTACCCGTTAATATGCGTAGCATTATATCTGTTAGTAGTGAAGATTTGTCAAAAGTGGCTACAATGGCCGATAAGATTTGGGAATTAAACCCTGTTACTCCCCAAATAGCTGCTGTATCATCCATAACGGTAAAAACGGAAGTGATTGAAAGTTTACAAAAACAGGTTAGTGAACGTAGCTTACAAGTTTCTGCTTTATCCAAGCAACGTCCACAGTCGTCCCTATTGTCGTAACCGATCCAAATCACGAGATAGGAGTTACAGTGCTAACAGATCTAGTGATATTTGTTACTATGTCATAAAAAATTCGGTGATAAGTCATTTAAGTGTAAACAACCCTGCAACTACTCGTCAACAATCACAGACAAATAGTCTGGAAAACCAGCTCCCCGTCTCTCATTGACGGACGGAGGGACAAGGGGTGCAGCTGAGTCATCTTTTCATCAGCGACAAAGAATCGGCTACCCAATTTTTAATAGATTTACCGAGGCAGAAATTTCTGTCATTCCTCCCTTACCCTGCAGATAAAAAAAAACATCTCAAAATTAGAACTCTTTGCTGCAAATGGTACGAAAATTAAAACATATGGCCAAAAATTACTCAAGCTTGATCTTGGACTCACACGATCATTCACATGGCATTTTGTAATTGCTGAGGTAAACAAACCGATAATAGGGATGGATTTTCTTGCAAATTTTAACCTTTTGGTAGATTCTAAAAATCGCAAGTTGATTGATGGTACTACATTCTTAACAACCAATGGAACTCCTTGTTTTCAAAATAACAATAATAATATTCCGATTTTAAATGCCGTAAAATGTACATATAACGTATAATTAACGATT